TAAGAGAAATAACAGACCCCTGGAATTAAACTTTCTTCACTTCAGCTATCCCGAGTACTTACTCTAAACCGAGGGTAGGGTTCACGTGGAGTTTCCTTCACGTAAAAGATAGGGCAACTGGCGCCCGAGACAATCCAAACAAAAAGATTTAATCCGGAGTACATTTCTGTGACATCACTCACCACCGCCGGCTGCCAACCACCGCTGCCGATAAACTAGTAGTCAAGGGTCGTCATAAAATTAGGCGTCCAAATAGGGACGTCAGTGACGTTAATAAATATAATAAATTAGAATTCGCAATTGCGAATTAAGATTCCGTTTAGAGTTGGTAGTATACTGGGGGCGGCCACAAGTAACGTCTGAACCGAACCGTCACCACCAAAATCAAAACCAAATAAAGTATGTTACATGTTATGGCGGCTGCAATGTGGTACAGGGTTGGCTTTAGGTCGGGTTCTCTTTTATGTAATTTTATTCAAACAAAAAGTGACACAACCGTTGCCTTCTTATAACCACACTCTTTACATTATAAGAATATATGTATAAGTACGTATTGCATAGTAGTATGAAACAAGAAGGAGCAGTGTTTATTTTTCTACACTAAACGCTTCACATGCAATTAACCATGTTAATATAGGTACAGTACGTAATAATAAGTACCAGCAAACGTTAACAAAATAATAATTTCTAACTCATAACCAAAGCGATTGTAAGTGTTCCGTAAATATTCTCCGGCGATCGGTAAATATCCGTTTGCAAAACGAAAATGACCGTTCAATATTTACCGAGATCACAGGCGCATAGCTAACATAGTCGAAGTTTTTAATAAACGATATTTTTACTAATGGTGGTTAAGCATCAACTACTTCACATTTTAGTAATGCCACTATCCGCATCATTGTACAATAACATGTGCATGTGAGCCTCATATCTGAAGTTTCACATCGATCAATTTATTCGATACGTATCTAGCGGTACCCTAGTGCCTGCCCTGTCGCGTCGGCTTGGCGTGCCGGTGATAGGCGCGGATCGCCCCAAATGGTTAAAAAAAAAAGAAAAATTAAACAGTATAAATTAATAAAGATGAAATTTTTTGTATTTCTAAAAACCTCTGAGTTTTCTTGACTGCATAACCTTGCATTTCATTGTCGTTTGTGCGTGTGTGACTGAGTTTGACGCTTTACTTGGTCGATTGTATACCAAGTGTTTTTATGGTAGTCAGTAGCATTGTATATCGTGAGCATAGAGCGGCACACGGCTTGACCACAGATTTAGCCTATTTCTGCTACTATAACATGTATTGCCGATTACTAGAATAATATAGATTACTACTGTTTATTTATTTGATTGTCGCCACAAAGTTTCCAGTGTTCAGTTATTAACGACAGTCTTTTTTACAGTTGGACTAAAAATGAAGTTATACCTTGTAATCTTCAGTAGCTATAAATAGTAATGAATTATAAAATTTGTTGCAATTTCAATAATAGCCTACTTGTTCTAAGAATTGAAATCAATTGTACACCAAGTTGTTCCAAGTGGCTTGTTCTTCTTGGAATTCCCTGTATATCAATATGGACTACTCGATTGATTTTTGCAGTCAATGAGACGCAGGTAAAAAAGTAACTTAAAAAAAATAAATTTTGGCAAACCGCCATATTTTTTAGGTATATAATTTTGTTGTTTCTAGTTTAACATAGAAATGAAATTCTTGTTTGACTTTCATAACTAACCTGATATACAGGGTGTTTCAGAAAGACCTCCCGTAAAATAAGAATTTTTTATCTTATGAACTATATGTGTATATCTCCTCTTGTTTTCGAGATATAGAGCGACAAAATAAATTTTTTTAAATAGAATTTTTACGAATATTTACAAACGGTGCGAAATATTTTTATGAAATTTGGTATTCCTGGGTTTTTAAGGACGCCAAATACGCGGGTCTAATTATTTTTCGTATATTTTATAGAGGGCGCTAGTTATGCTACATTCGAATTACATTTTAAGTTCTAATTTTTTTTGAGGTTAGGTTTTTTAGAGCATTAAGGCTCTAACTTCTAATGTACAATTTTATTTTCTAAAAATAATGTACTCTTGTCTGAACTTCCTAATGTAGACGGTTTTCGAGAAAAAAAGGCTTTTAATTGAACTCTTACAATATTACGGTGTAGAAAATAAGTGACTTTTCTCAATGTAGGCTTATATAAAAAATTATTGATGGATGTCTCATAAACAACGCATACATTCTCAGTAATATTTTAAAAACTAATTAACTTTATATCAAAATTTTAATGACTGTAATTAGTCATTACTAACTACAGTCACTAACAATCACTAAAATTTTGATATAAAGTTAATTAGAGTTTAAAATATTACTGAGAATGTATGCGTTGTTTATGAGACATCCATCAATAAGTTTTGACATAAGCCTACTTTGAGAAAAGTCACTTATTTTCTTCACCGTAATATTGTAAGAGTTCAATTGAAAGCCTTTTTTTCGAAAACCGTCCACATTATGAAGTTCTAACAAGAGTACATTATTTTTAGAAAATAAAACTGTACATTAGAAATTGGAGCCCGAATGGTAAAAAACCTGACATTAAAATAATTAGAATCTAAAATGTAATAGGAATGTAGCGTAACTAGCGCCCTCTATGAAATATACAAAAAATAATTAGACCAGCGTATTTGGAGTCCTTAAAAACCCCGGAATACCGGAATTTCATAAAAATATTTCGCACCGTTTGGAAATTTTCGTAAAAATTCTAATTCAAAATTTTTATTTTGTCGCTCTATATCTCGAAAACAAGAGGAGATAAACATATAGTTCATAAGACAAAAAATTCTTATTTTTTGTCGTACTTTCACCCCCTGAATTTACGGGAGGTCTTTCTGAAACACCCTGTATAAAAATATTTATCAGTTTCATAGGATACTGTATTTCTAATTATTCTAAAAAGTGATATTCCAAGCTTAAATACGTATGAAAGTTGTTCGTATATTTAGAAATAGCTAACATGACTTAAAACTATTTATATAAAAATGTATTTGTAGTATTAAATTTTAGTTGGGTCATATTATACGTAGTGGTTTAAAGGATAACGTATGATTATAACGATTTTTCATCAATTCTTGAAAATGGGTCAAGAATAAAAAGCTTTATTCAGCTGTATGCAAATTTTGCGTGAAAACCTATAAAATAAAGGAGCCGTGATAAAATCTCTATTATTAGCAAAAGGAGGTGGTAAACTGAAAAGGGTGACTTGGAATAATATTCGAATTGCCGAGTGAAACGTAACCATAGTAATGGAGCATTATAACACAACTGACCAATGAAGGAAAAACGATTCATCTCAAAGGTTAACTACTCCAAAAAGTCCCCCATCGCACCATTAACTTTTGGGGATAGTCCTCGGTGGTTTCTTATAGAGTTCATATCAAAAATGAAGGGGTTGGGGCTAAATTTGATAAAATATGTTCTTTTCATTTTTAACTTAATTTTTGCGGTTAGTAATTGAAAATGTTGATGACATACATCCGATTTTGATCTGTTTTTTGAAATGTGTATTTAACTAAAAAATAATTTTTAGGTTTCTGGGATAGGACTAATTATAGCTGGATCATTAGTTCTATCAGATGTTGGAGAATTTAATCATTTTATGGAAGGTAAAATATTGGCACCGCCTGTTGTTTTGATTGTTGCTGGAGTTATAGTTTTTCTTGTGGCATCATTAGGCTGTTATGGAGCTATAAAGGAGTCATATTATATGCTTATGGCTGTAAGTAAATTGTTTATCTCTATTTTTGTTCAATATGCAATATATATAGTATGTCCACTGTTAGAGTGAACAAGAAGGGAAAATATTTTATTTTTGTGTTCGGTTGTTTTTAAAACATAGTTACTATGGGGAATTTTAACTTTCTATGTATAGAGTGTTCCGCAAATAAAAACATCTTAAAATTAATAAGAATAAACTGCATTTATTTTTGATAACACGAAAAATTACTATTAACGGAAATTGTTTAGAATTAAGAGTTATGAAATCCGTACAATCTTAATAATGTACCTAATACGGATTTCATAACTCTTAATTCTAAACAATTTCCGTTTACAGTTTCGGTTGATTTATCTATTGTTTGCTATTTTCATCCGAATATTATTTCGTCTACGGTCCGTTTTATTTCCTTAATATTGTTAATTCGGGAAAAAGAACGTAATGTTATATATTGCAAATTCACTAAACTTTTTGAGAACAAATCTTAGACCCATTCCCTCTAGAAAATTTCAAATAAAGTGCCCTTATAAGGCATTTCTTGTCATCGGTATTAAAGTGTTAAATAACAAGAAAGGACGTCTTCTCATGTATTGGAAGCCAAAACAAACTGGACGTCTTCTCATGTATTGGAAGCCAAAACAAACTGATCCAAGATATCTGCGCCGTTCTTTAAATATTTAAAAAAAATTGAAAATTTTAAATTATGGGAACAAAAAAATTGTTTAGTGGCGTCTGATATTAGTGGCATTTGATAGGCTGTATTACTGAAAAATGGTCATTATGCGTGGTACCAAGAAACGAAATAGGTAGTTTTTTGAAACGCTCAGCAAAAACGTTCTCCAAAAAAGTAAAAAAAATTTTTTTTTTCAAAAATTAAAACATTTTTTAATTTTTTGAAATTTTTTCTTTTAATTCAAACAGTAGATACCTAATGTAAAATTAATTAGCGGCAGATTTTCGAAAGAAACGAAAAGTCACTTTTTGAACTTTTTTCAAATTAATGTTTAGGATGAAAAAAATTTCTTCGAAAACCATGAAAGAGTGTGTATTTAAGTTTTCAAAACCGCTCTTAAATTTACTGTGCGGTCATTACTTATTAAGATATCGATGATGAAAGGCAAAAGAATCCTTTTTCAATCAAAATCGGATATCTTAACAAAAAAATGACATGCAGAGACCAAAAAAAAACAAACTAAAGCTGAATAATCAAGCAAACTGAACTACTTATCAGTCTAAGTGAAAAAAAATTAGACCGTTACAAATAATTTTAAAAAAATGGAAAATTTGTTTGCCACGCTATTTCCTATGATTGTCTAATAACCAGAGCTCAAAAACTTTTTTTGTCAAAAGATCTAAACTAGAGTCTTGAAACTTCAAACTACTTTTTTATCTCGACTCACTCGATATCACTAAAAAGTGTGATTTTTTTGTTCTCTTAATTTTTTCCAGTAGTGTATAGACTCTTTGGATCTGTTTAGACTAAAAAACATTAATGATCTTAGTCTCTAAGTCACTGGTTTTTCGAGATACAGACTATTGAAGTCTAAAAAATATTTCTTTAGCATATTTCGTATCAACAATCAGTAAAACTTTTTTTAATGTTACTATACTATTTTCAAGAACTTTTAAGGCATACTAAATTTTTAATGGAAATAAAAATGTACAGCTAAAAATTTTAACCTTCATAAAAAAATTACTGAGAACTATAAATTAATAAAATTTGAGATGCGGAGATAAAGGTTTTGACTTCAGTAATAATAATGCCTAAAACAATCATAGGCAGCGTAGTGGCATAACTATTCCACTTGGGTCTATAGATAAATTTAGACTAACTAAAATTTGACGGGGGTGTTATGGATCAAATTTGAACACTGTTAATGTACATGATTATATGTATGGTTTATAAAAATGAACTTGGGAAAACTTAAAATAACTAAGTAGGTACTTACAAACTATTTTATAAAAGAAGTAGGTAATATTTATCTACTTTTTTATTATTTTTTATTGCTGTTCTTACCCTTCTTTATAAAGTTATTAATGCTAATTATATACCTCATCGGTTTGAATGTGTTTCTAGTAGAACAACGAACTTTTATACTTAGAAAATTAAATAATAAAGTTCAAATGTTACATCATATTATGGTTTTACTTAATTATTCAAACAGTTATGTTTACAATATGGAGAAAATCAATATTCGAAAGATAATAGAATTTTTGTTTTTAAGCAGATTCATGAAGGCTTATAGACTGATGGTTAGAGCAGTCACGCAACGGTCGCTAGCAATAATTATTGATACAATAATAATGAGTAGGTACAACATATGGAACCAAAGTTACGTTATTATCAGTGTGCATTTTAACTGTTATTTTCGTGTTTTTTTAATTCCTATTGTAAGATGTAACGTTTACTTTAGCGTTTATCATTAAGTTCAGTACAAATTCCAACCAACGTTCCTTTTTTTAATAACTGGAAATTTTAAACTACGTTTGATCCAACACATTCTTTAAGTGCTGATGTAGACTTTTTTAAATGTCTGCAAAAAGTACTTTTGAAGTGGTTATTAGAGGTTCCTAAAAGCTAAATGCTGTGTAGCAATACAATTAGTTGTATTAAATCTTATTTCTTTTATGCGTATTTAATGTATGTTATGGTTTTTGGTCTGGTTGCCACGTCGCGTCGTCGGTTTAGATAAATTTTGTGCGACATACTGCTCTCGTTTTCAGTACTCCTCAGATCGGCATATACAGGCTCTTACAAATTCGCTTCTCACTACAGGGATCTCGGAAACGGTAAGCGGTACGAAGTAGCTTAAATGGGGGCAAAGTTGCGTAATCAGGGGACCAACATCATGCCTCTAAAAAATCAAGGCTAACATGATTAGTTTTCGAAATATTTGAAAAAAAACGAAATTTTGGAAATCCGTTTTTGCTTCACTTCAGCCTTGTTTGAGGTGATATTAAAAAAAGAAGAACACTTTTGCCCTCTACCGAATGGCAAAATCAATTTTTATATGTAACGTTTCGCCTCACCAGAACCATCATCAACTTCATTTTTTTTTAAATACAGCCCTGGAAATTTTATTACATTTTTTGCAAGCTTTCGTGACTCCCCGTACTGTACTGTCTCAGTCCGATCCAGATTCAGACGTTTTGTCTCGAAAAATTCATCTTCAGTGTATCCATTCCAAATTTATCTATTTTTTTTTTAGATTTCTTTGTTTATTGGATTATCGTACACTGTAAGTATCGTTAGACCCTGTGAAATCTATCTAGTTATTTAAACTGTTACCACCACGCAATAAAATAAAACATTACACAGCCCCACAAAAAAAAAAGTGTTCGGACTTGTGGGTCGGACATATGTATTCCCATGTATTTTTTGACGCTGAATCCGATCCCGAGCTCAGAAATTTCCCTCCACGTCTGGAATTGGCCCCAGGGGCCAAAAATGGCCTCTATAGGGCCTGAAAGATGGATTCCGGGATGAGGCGAGGTCGAAGGTGCATTCTAAAGCCAAAGCCGGATTTGTGGTCGAAAAGTTTATGGCCAACTGAAATTCCCCGTTTGGGACCGGGAAAATGACCCCTTAGGGGCCGGAAAATCGTGTTTCGGACGTCGCAATCGCAACAGTGGTGTTAAATGGTTTTTAAATTCTGGAATTCGAGCACAGTTTGAGTTCCAGAATTTAAAAGTACATAAAAATACCACTGTTGCGATTGCGACGTACGAAACACGATTTTCCGGCCCCTAAGGGGTCATTTTCCCGGTCCCAAACGGGAGATTCCAGTTGGCCATAAACTTTTCAAGCACAGTCAGAGTTCCAGAATTTAAAAGTACATAAAAATACCACTGTTGCGATTGCGACGTCCGAAACACGATTTTCCGGCCCCTAAGGGGTCATTTTCCCGGTCCCAAACGGGGAATTTCAGTTGGCCATAAACTTTTCGACCACAAATCCGGGTTTGGCTTTAAAATGCACCTTCGACCTCACCATATTCCGGAATCCATCTTTCAGGCCCTATAGAGGCCATTTTTGGCCCCTGGGGCCAATTCCAGACGTGGAGGGCCATTTCTGAGCTCGGGATCGGATTCAGCGTCGAAAAATACATGGGAATATATATGTCCGACCCACAAGTCCGAACACTTTTTTTTTTGTGGGGCTGTGTTATTAGAGTTTTATTCCCGTGTCCATAGTTATTTCTAGGCTTCTCGAGTGCTCAAAATTCAAACAAGTTCCGATCAATTTTTTTCAGAATATTCATATAAATATATCTGACATGCTCTTTCACAGTTGCGGTTACAGATATAATAAATTTCGATAATACGCTGATCTTCATTTTCAACCTTTGCCAAAACGTAAATGTTTTTGAACATTTACTGAAATTTTTTAAAGAATAATATTCAGTTGGCTTTTTAGTTGTTCATATGCAATTTTAAGAATTAATTTGTCATAATAAAATTAAAATTGTAATAATGTTTTAATTTTGACGCAACAACTTATTGAGTTATGTATGACCAAGTGATGGTAATAGTTATTAATAATAATAAATGTTTTATTGTAACACGTGGTTGTAATAGTTTAAATAACTAGATGGATTTCACAGGGTCTGACGACATTTACGGTGTACGATAATTCAATAAACAAAGAAATTTAAATAAAATATTTAGATAAATTTGGAACGAATACACTGAAGATGAATTTTTCGAGACAAAACGTCTGAAACTGGTTTGGGCTGAGGCAGTACAGTATTAGGGGTCATGAAGGCTGGCAAAAAATGTAATAAAATTTCTAGGGTCGTATTTAAAAAAATGAAGTTGATGATGGTACTGGAGAGACGAAACGTTACATACAAAAATTGTTATGCTATTCGATAGAGGGCAAGTAGTGGCCATGAGAAAGTGTTCTGAAATAAAACAAAAACGAATGTCCAAAATTTCGGTTTTTTCAAATATTTCGAAAACTAATCATGTTAGTCTTGATTTTTTAGAGGCATAATGATGGGCCCCTGATTACGCAACTTTGCCCCCATTTAAGCTACTTCGTACCTTTTACCGTTTTCGAGATCCCTGTAGTGAGAAGCGAATTTGTAACAGCCTGTATATGTATATGTGTATACCCACTGGTTCAAGAGGTTCCGATATATGATTTGAAGTCACTGGCTCCTGATATCTCGGTCCTGAGTTTTATGTATGAGTTGTTTTCAAATTTAGGGTAGTTTTAATCTTTAAAGTTTGAAATTATTTGATTTTATATGCATTTCTATTCTCTGAAGAATTTTGGCCAACATCTTCTCTCTTATACTAGCATATTGGCATTTCTATGGTTTATTGAATACCCTGTATCTGTCCTGTGCTGCGTACTGATGATTTTTCTTCGCCGTTATTCTTTAGTGATATTTGTGTTATTTTAATTATGTGCCTTCTTATTTGTTTAATATATATTCTTCACTGCATGCACCTAAATATCTTGTGAGGGAAGCCACCAATCCGAAAATAACCCTTACGAAAGTTGTTGGATTCATAGAGGGACATCGGATGGCGACTTTGGATTTGACCCTGACCTTGTCCTTCAAATGACCTTGACCCTCAAGGTCGTTTGAAGGTCAAATTTAATTTTTTAAATAGGAATCTCTATTTTTGATCCCGGATTCGAAGAGTGCAAAATTTTGCGTTCGTTTACGTTTAGATTGATACTTCTTAGATAGACTCTCTTCTCTTCTTCGTCAAGGTCAAATAGAAGGATGTCCCACTTCGTTCGAGGGGTTATTATCGGATTGGTGGCTCTCCTGGTGACATATTTAGGTGCATAATTTAAAATATTTTGTCCTTGAAATATCCTTTAAAGATCATACTGAAGAATAGCCTTAAGTAACTATCTAAATATTAATTTTTGGGCTCTTTCCGAATCTGGGTTACTTATTAAAAAAAATTAGATTTGATCTTTAAATTATCTTGACTTAGGTATGTTTTTCTGGGTGCTATCATTTCTCCGCAAATTGTCAAGCTGTAAACCGTTCGGTGTTAGTGAAACCATTATATCTAAAGTGGAGTACAAGAAAATAAGTGGTGAAACACGAGAGATGGTAACAAACCAAATCCACTTCATGCAACTATCTATTACGGGTGTTAGAAAGGTTAGGCACGTGTTTCGCGTGCAAAAGGGGAACGGATTTAGGATGGTGGATAAGGCGGTTTTGAAACCCCAACAGAAGACTTAAGAAATTGACACCAAAGACTTCGACATAGTGATTCCGTTGATAAGTTGTTAAATTTATACAACTGTAAGAATTGTATCCACTCTAAAACGCGTCCATCGACAATTTGTCGCAAATTACAATTACAGGCTGGTCTTATGAGAAAATACAAGTGCTAGAGCAAATAGGATCCTGTTGGACAAAGACAAGAAGGAAGAGTCAGATATTCATACAATACTGTTCAAAGTAAGAATGTTGTTCTAATATGAGTTGAAGAAAGGAAGTTATGAAGAAATGGTTAACGCTAAAATGTTTAACATTTACTGAAAACATGCCTAATTAAACTTTACGTTTACGTTTAAAACTTAGGTCATTGGTAAGGTCCTAAACGGAAAGAGCCACGATGTGTTAATACTCCGATCGATAATAGTTTGGGAAACTAGGAAACACTTTGTTGCATATCGAAACGTAGACTTTAGTTCAAAAACTGTTTTTTATCATCGTCTTCTTCTGACTAATGGATATTAAGATGTCAGCATATTTGAAAAGTTAAAGGTTTTTTTAAGGAGAAATTGACGTAGTTATCGTCAACGTACAAAATTGATTCTATTGTTTAATTCAGCATACTTATTAATATAGTGTTACAAAATAAAAATACGAGCAGAATAAGTAACACAAATCATGTACACTCAAATAATTCAATATTTTTTTATCTCTGTTCGGATATTATTTTTTCATTCCGCCTTTGCACATCTACTCCTACTTCTCACCCGCAAAGTTATTCCTATTGACCTGCAGATTTCTCTCTGTTCTCTGGGCCTACTAATGCGGCGGAATATTTAAATTTGTTAGAGGAATTATTTCTCTACATTTTTACATGCAAAATAAATATAGTTACTACTTTGTTTCAAATAAAATTAAAAATTATTTCACTAATATGGAACACGAACAACGGAAAATATAACATATATACCTAATATAAACAAATACCACCATTGTGTAAAGTAGATCGAGGTCCGGTGTAAAAAAATTCTTATAACAGCCATCATTCTTTGTTCGTACTGATTTGAATTTATTATAACCACAAAGGAGCAATAAAAACTCAGAACAATAAAAATTTTTAAACCTAATCTTCAGAACTACCTGGAATTTGTAAATAACCATAAAAATTAAGGAGCGCAACGTCAAAGACTAGCGATTCATAGCAAGTACCCGAGAACCGTGGATCAAAACACATCATCAATGGAAAAATCCGTATATTGTTTTGGGTATTCTTATAAAGCGCTTTTCAGGTCTACAATGTTATAAGAACTAATGGGTTTATTCTGAGAATATGGAAAAAAAATGTATGAAGAGTACATATTAAGATAGCACGAGATGTTATTAGATGCTAAGCAATCATATTTTAATTATTGACATGTTATGCTTAGGTTTGCCAAACTATCTCGATCATCCTGACATCAGTGTAATCCTGCAGAATCGTTTTATCATAATACGCAAAAATATGCATTTAAGCATCTCTACTTGTTTTTCTATGTACCAAGATACGGAAGAATTACGCAATAATGCATTAAATGGACATTTGGTACAAGGTGCAACAATTTACATATGTTACTGTTTCAGTTTGCCATATGTCTCTTGATCATTTTCATCATAGAATTTGCCGTTGGAATAGCGGCTGCCTCTTTCAAAAGTGAATTTCGAGTAGCTTTGAAGAACAACATGAAAAACTCTATGGATAATTACGAAAATAGTAAATCGGACAAAATAGCTTGGGACAATTTGCAAAGAAAGGTAATAATTTATTTATTTTTCAATGTTTCTGAACGTCTTATAATAATTGTCATATTGCTTAACATAATAGTAAGGGTCGCTAAAACATGATAATGTGTGATGTATTAAAAAGAGACATGGGGGATTGGTCGGTTATTAGGCTACATAAATCATTAGTTTATAACAACGTAAACAATATCTTCCTTTTTGCGTTCATTCTCAGAAATATTCGTACCTCACTTGAAGTTGAAGATAAAAAAGAAAGTACTGTTGGATCAAACTGAATAAGTATAAACAATGAACTGAAATATAAAAAATTACCAACAATGTTCGCCAGTAACATTAGCAACCTCATGACACTGTTTGTTAAATAAAATATGCGTACCATTTCTAGGTGATAAACTTCAAAGGATTCTGGATATTATTATGGGTTTTGTAATTTCAAGGAATAGATGTTAATTTTATTTCGGTCTAAAATATTCGATAAATTTAGTAAATACGTTTACGTAGAATAGTTGTTTTGAAAGAGTATCGGAAACCTACCATTTTCGATTCAAGGAAAAGGCGCCAAAGTGATAAACAATAATTATCTTTACCTACGACCACTACTGTAAATACTTAAAAACACACCGTCTGCGATCAATGTAAGATTCCTGTTACGTACGGTAAAAAAATCGCACAGTTTTCCTAGCAACTGCCTATCAACGGCCAATACAATACTGTTTGTATTGATCGTTGCTAGGCGGTTGCTAGGAAAACTGTACGATTTTTTTACCAAGCTGTGCGTTTTTTTTACAGTACGACGTAATAGGAATCTTGCATTGATCGCAAACGGTGTGTTTTTAAGTATTTAAAGTAGTGGTCGTAGGTAAAGTATAGTACGTAATACGTGGTGTAATGCAATTACGCACTCATAGAATTACGCACTCGCCGCTACGCGGCGTCGTGCGTAACTTTTCAATTCGTGCGTAAAATGCTTTTTACAACACTTATTACGTAATACACTATTACATTATCAATTCAATTTTAGAAATTCGTTAGAATTTCGTTACAACTTTATTTTTGTTAGTAATACGAGTTCTTTGGAATTTGTTTTAATTTACTCCCTAGAATAAATTAAAAACCTGTACCAGTTGCTTGTATTTGGGATTTTAACAAATTATAAATATAAAAAATAGCAAAAGTGTGATTATTTAACTATGAATTGTGGTACTCCTCTAATACATTTGCCAAAACAACATTCTTTAACTGTTTACTAGTGGATACAATTAGCTAACAATGTTCGCATTAGTGTATACTAGGGGTAAAATACAGAGTGATTCACAAACGGTGACCAAAAATGAAACCTCGTATTCTTTGGAAACTTTCGTATAAAGTTTTTATCTAGGACGCTTCGTTAAAAAGATACAGGGTGATAAACTTAAAAAAATATTTTTAATTTTAAGGAAGTGAAATAATTTGAAATTAATACACCTGAGCAGTTATAAGAAAGAATAAATAATGCTTTTCATCAGATTCAAGAAACAATAAATTTCGGACAAATTACATTTTCCTTACTAAAAGATGTCGCGCCTGTGTTCGTGGAAATGGAGATATTTTTGAGCATTTACTTAAATAAAATCATTAAAATGATGACTAATGTTATTAATTTCTTTATTCGAATAAATAACCGAAGGATTAGTGTTTGTCATGTCATTTAAGTAAAAGTGTTTTCAGTTAATTTTTTAAGTTTTATTCGAAAATCTGGCTTTTTCGGAAAACAGAAGACAGTAGTAATTTGTAGAAAATTGAAAGGCGAATCCGAAAATATCATTATTGCTACCGAAAAGCGGTGGAGTACTATTTTATTTAGCTGATACCGATACTCTGTATCTCCGTCACTGGAAGATCTAAATTGTAGGAAAAGGCCTCAAATTTTGTACAATGTTTACATAAATACATGTGTCTAATTTCAAATTATTTTTCTTACTTAAAAAAATTTAAAACATTTGTTAAAGTTTAACACCCTGTATTTTTTTAAACAAAGCGTCCTAGACAAAATTTTACATAAAAGACTCATCTTAAAATTCACCAAAGAATACGAGGTTTCATTTTTGGCCACCGTTTGTGAATCACCTTGTATATTTGCAACACATTACACTTGTGTTCTAACAGCACATCTTCGTCATCTACGACTCATCAAACCTTATCTTAAAAAGTTGCATTTTTATTATTTGCTGCTATGATTTTTACAGTAGGGGAGATGGAGGGAAAGTGATGAATAGGGTAAGAAGAATGCAAATAAGTTTCTCAATTGTAAATTAATTTTCATTTCGAAAGATTTATTATTTATATTGCTAAAAATTGCTTTTTTCTGCAAGAAGCCTTCTATTGACATTAGATAGATATACACCGAGTTTAATTTGTATAAATAGTTTAAAGATTCTTAAAAAGTCAATGATTTTCAAATCAGCATTTGTCCTTAGTATCGACAACTTACCACCATCTACTCTATTACTTTGTTTGTAGTCTAATTTTACGTAAATATTTCAAGTTGTTAGATAATCCACTTGATTTGATTACTTTCAGTTAGAATGTTGTGGAGTCGATGGGCCTACTGACTGGAAAAAGAGGCCTATGTCTTGTTGCCATGCCTTAAGAGAAAATGCTCCCGACCCCACATCAGATCAGTGCAGAGCTGCGCAACCGGGCGACGACCATCTCTACAACTATGGATGTTTTACTGAACTTGAAATGAAAGCTGAAAGAGCTTCTAAAGTACTCATTGGTGTTGGAATTGGAGTAGCTTTTATAGAGGTAAGAGAGTGTTTCCAGAGAAACAATTTTTTAAAAAGTCGTTTTCAGATAATTGGAATAATTTTAGCCTGTTGGATGGCATCGGCAGTGAAAAATAAAGAATGAGCATATATTTAAGTGGTTCTTTATAAATAATTACAAGAAATAAATTACTATGACCTCATTTGACACTTCCAGAATTACTTCCGCGAAATATGCTACCTACAAAATTACTCAAGGTGGTAAACATTGTTCATATTTTCTATTCTATCTTAAGATCGAAAACTGAGTTTAAAAAATTCTTCACATCCATCTCATTTAGAGATAAAAACCTAACAAAATATTGTCTTTATTGTTTATATTGTCTTTTAATATTAAAAAAAAAAATTTTTAATGCAAAAGTCTAATCTAGTGGTAATTGATACCTAGTTGATGGACGGCTAGAGAGATGCACTTTCAATTTTCAGTAAAATTATGTAAAGTGTAAATAGAATAATGCTATTTTAAAATAAAAAGTAAAATTGTAGTAACATTTTTATAACAAATATTCATGAAATTTCATTATCGAAAAGTCTGTCTAGTACCGTACCTATATCAATAATTAGTAGCTGCATGTATAGTAATATTATATCAACTCTAGCTTGTAAAGATAAATATATTTTCTTCTTTTGACAAATATTGTGCCGAGTTTAAAGAATCAAAAGACGAAATTAGTTTATGTACGTTAATTATTTACAAATTACATATTATATAGGTATCGATAATGATTAATGAGGATTTGTCTTTTTATTTTATGCATTTATATCTAGCAACAAAATAACAGTTAATTGTTCAAATACATAGTTAAAACAACATTAAGTCATATATTTTTAATGTAATTTAATATTAATAAAATTGTAGATATAAAGGGGACCTTGCATTATTTCAGACACATTTATCACATATTTAAGTATTTTGAATTATATTCTCCTCGTTTAAATAGTTACAAGCTACTACTAGTGTGAAGATAGGAAGATATGAATTTATCAGCTGCTGTTTTTTATACATGTTTTTTATACATGCATCTTCATTTCGTCGCAATGTCGCCTCCAATCTTGTAAAGGTTTTATGATCAGGAATGAGACGCTCTGGATACCTTTCTCGATATAAATACAGCTCTTCTTGAATTTTTTTGTGGCTCGCTGTAAATTAGCAGCATATCAACTTTTTCTGAATAAGAAAACATTTGTAAGCACAAAACTTATACGTTTGACGTTCGTATTGAGTAATGACAAATATTTTGTGACATTTATGCACTTTGAACAACGAACATTCAATTATTTTCCAACGACTACTTGAACCTTCCACCTTCCACCGCCAATTTTTAGGTGGTATTTCTTTTGAGACTCTTTAGGACGATATTGCTAATAACTTTTAAACGGGAAGTAATACAGAAAAATTTCTCTAATAAAAGTTTATTAGAAAAAAGAGAGCTTTTTTAACAGGAAAAAATGAGTATGTTTCTGGAAAAAATATAATTGATGACGTCATTAGTCGTTTCTGTCAAATCCCAAAATAATATTTTCGATTGAAAATCCCCATTTAATACCACGTGTCCCAAATTTTATTTAAATTCTTTGTATACTCACAGTAGGCCCTTATTATCGAGTTTGAGACACCCTGTACATTATAAAAACCAATGAAAATCTTAAATATGTCACTATTTCTGCTTTACCTACACAGTGGTGTGACAATAACTTTTTTTATGTTTGGAGATGTTTGACCGATTAGTAACTGAACATTTGTATAATCATAAGTAACGACTAAAATACTTTATATTATCCTAAATGATATCATCGTTGTTAAAAAATATCCAAAAAAAATTACATTTGTGAAACAATTCAAGGTTTCTATTCTAACGACAATATATCTTATACACGATACCGTGTTTAACTCCCATTTTTGTACTTTGTCACGCAAGCATTCAGCAAATAACCCAATACAAGAATTTTGTCCTTCGAATCTCACAATTTTTTTCCTCAATCGAAAGTAAATCAAATTTGGAAAATGTACGATGATATGCGTCATGTGTGTAGCTTACGCGCGCATTAAGGAGGTAGGTATTTACATTTAGTTAATAAAAAATTAAGACAATTTTTTTCAAAGAGGATACAAATACGATGCTGGTAATTTTGTGCTACCTACATATTTATTAAGTATTTAAGTGAAAAAATATAAAAATAAATTTGTTGGTACAAAGTGACTAGTTATATGCCATGCAATTATCACCCTCAAAAAAAAGGTTCACTTTGTCTAACAATAAGTCGTTTTTATATGAAATCAAAAATCAATTTTTCTTTAATATGTGTCCGTAGTTGGAGGAATTTTAGTCTCGATTTTTCAATTTTTTTTTTAATCTTGAAGGTGTTAAAAAAATGTAAAAATAAGTTTTTTGTTTCCTTTTTTGTTAGTATATCCTACAATGAATTCAATTTACTTTACATTAAAAAAAGAGTCGATAACCTATTGGGTTCAAGATCTAGAGCTTACACAAGTTCAGAAAATGTAGTTTCGAAAAAAACACGTTTAAAGTTTTTCTTTAGTTTTTTGGTGTATACACCTAGAATCTATAGAAGGGCACACGTATAAATATTTCAGAACTACAGAAAAATTATAACTATCTACAGTTACTTAAATCAATTGTTAATACAGCTATCTACCGTTAGTTATATCATTTAGGTACACTTTTTTCGTAATGACAAAAAAAAAATCTCGAAAATTGAATAAAAACCTAAAAAGACAGCCATAAAGTAGGTGCCTAAATGATACGATAGCTCACGTATAAAATTAATTTCGAAAAAACCGTTTGAGTACCATATTCTACACATATTTATCCTTCAGGGTTGACCTTCATGTAAATACGACCTTAAGGTGTACAAGAATATAAGGAACAATTTTTCTTTAATTAAGTACTACATACTTATATCCAATGTCAATTGTTTTTATTGAAACACTTACGAGGTAGGGCACTTTTAAGGATATTTTACCAGACATCTTTACTTGTCGAAGCAGTTGTAATTGCCAGTATAAAATATGTTATTTATTGCTTTGATCTCAATGACAGTATGCTATATAAAAATTGCGGAAAGTAGTAAAAGATGAATGAATTCGTGGTGACTTATGTCGGCAGATATGACTTTCCCTGTACAAGTTACTATTAATTAATAGACTCGAAATTTTACAGAAGGGAACTTCAGTATGATGTCCGAATTCTAAATATTGTGAGGTAGGTGTTTTTACTCTCATATTTAGTGTTACTATTTAGTATTAATATTATTTTGTTGCAACATATTTTTAGTAAACTTGATCATATTTACATTAGTCTATAGTGTCCGAAAGCCTTAAGTCTAAATAAATATTTGTGAAATCAAATAATGCCAGATTACATGTAGGTACACTAATTTAATAAAAAAATATTATTTTTGTTTTTCTCAAATTAATACGTTTTAGTGAACAATTGTTAATTCGGAAAATCTGTGATGGGAAACTTTCGAATATTTGAAAATTGGGTGGGAGTTAACAAGGAAGTTTTGGGAGTTTTATATGAACTACCAAGTATTTCCAAAATACAATATGAATATTATGTTTTATTTGTTATTTTGATATCACCAGAAAATTGTATAAAATCAATTGCAAACAGATGCACACTTAATAAGTGTAACAGAAAAATACACAGCATGTTGCATTAAGCAAAGGACACAGCGAAAGTGTGAAATTTTGTTCCTTCACTTATATTCTAAATATGTCATAAATAATATTAATTAATAAATAACGACAGATAAAAGCCACTGTTTGTGTCACTGTAAGTAAACTTGATGTATTACATAATATTTGAAATAAGTATCAAATTAATTTAGAAATAAAAGAAATTATAAATTTTATTAATAAGTCAAAAGATAATATTTAAAAAAACAGTTGTTTTATTACTGAAAAATTTCTGGTAGGTACAAGCACTTTTGATAGATTCAATCGATTCTTCGATTTGGTGGCCAATTTATTTAATTGTTTTGGTTATCCAGCAAATAATGTTAATATCAATTAAAATATAAATATATAAATAAATACTTTTTAAACGTTAAAATACACCAAAAATTAAATAAAACTTTTCTCAAAATTGATTGTTTTTTTTTTAGTCTTAACTATACCATGTTTTTTGAAAATTAATCAAGGTTTAGGTCATATTTACTCTATCAGTAACTTGTTCTCTGTACCAATGAGGACAAAAGGAATACTATTTTTGAAATTCGTGTCTATTCGAATTTTCTGCTGGACTGGAGAAATACTTTTGACATCCTGTAGAGTGAAATGGAACAATAGTAATAATAGTTAGTCCGATTTGCACGAAGCCGTAGAAGGGCCTCGTCAAATTCAGACTTTAAACGCTGATCTCAGACTTTAAACTCTGAATTCAAACTTTAATCTTTGAATTCAAACTTTAATCTCCGAATTCAGACTTTAACCTATAAATTCAGACTTTGAACTCTGAATTTAGACCTTAAACTCTAAATTCAGATTTTAAACTCTGAATATAAAGCATTGAGTAGCAAGAGGATATAAGTGCACTTGTATTATATTACCCATATATAGGGTGTCACATTGTAAGCGTACAAAAATTAACTAGGGAGTAGATTCGGTCAAGATAAGATTAAAATTCTTATAAAAACATTCTTCAACAGACACGCACACTGTGTTAAGGGAAGAGATCAAACTGATTCATGGGTGGGGTGCATACCTTTTCAGATACATTAAAACTGTGTGACATTTATTTTGATTTGGCCTGATAAAGTTTTGCATATTTAACGATCAATTTAAAATAATGTGTTTCCAAAGTGCCTAAATATTACGGCTCAAAACTTAGGAATAGATAATTGTCAGGATAAGTTGGTCAAGGGCGCCCCTGATACCAAAATAATGTCGCATAGTTTTAATGATCCCGAAAAAGTATAATATACTTTACACTTTACCCAAAAATCGATTTATCCCTTGGGGAATGTTTAGGTTTTGATTGAAAATTGTTATTATTTCTTGAATTCAGCACCTTCCAGGATCCCTTAGAAGAATTTTAGAGGAATTTTGGTTGTAGTCAAACTATACAGCTGAACTAACACTTGAAACTAATGGAACATCCTTACATTAGAACAAAAGTTAATAATTCAGAGAATAAAGTCTGAATTCAGAGTTTAAAGTCTGAATTCAGAGTTTAAAATCTGAATGTAGAATTTAAAGTCTGAATTTAGAGTTGAAAGTCTGAATTCAGAATTGCAAGTCTAAATTCAGAGTTGAAAGTCTGAATTCAGAATTTAATAAAGTCTGAATTCAGAATTTAAAGACTTAATTCAGAGTTGAAAGCTGAATTCAGAGTTGAAAGCTGAATTCAGAGTTTAGAGTCTGAGTTCAGAGTTTAAAGTATGAATTCAGAGTTTAAAGTCTAAATTCAGAGTTTAAAATATAAATGTAGAATTTAAAGTCTGAATTTAGAGTTGAAAGTCTGAATTCAGAATTGAAAGTCTGAATTCAGAATTTAAAGTCTGAATTCAGAGTTGAAAGTTGAATTCAGAGTTTAAAGTCTGAGTTCAGAGTTTAAAGCATGAATTCAGAGTTTAAAGTCTGAATTCAAAGTTTAAAATATGAATTCCGAGTTTAAAGATTTGAAACATATTGCAAGAATAAAATGCTCTTCGAAAATTACGTCCATGTAAAAAACCGTATTAAAGGCAATGGAAAACTACGGCTGCATAACAAATTTGAATCAATTCGCTCTGATTTTTTCTTGTA